CCCATCCCGCACGTCAATATTGTCGCCATCAGCAGAAAACGATATTCACCTCGTGTCCTGGTGTCGGTAGCGCCTAGGTAGTGACAAATCCCGCAACTGTCATTTTTCGTAGACCAGGGCCGTATTCCATTACCCCTTCACGGAGGATACGGACCCAACCGTCCCAGCAGCAAAAAAAAATTCCAGAGAACTCGTCAGCGGCCTTCAAAAAAATCTTCGCAGGAAACCCTTTAAGCCTTAATTCTCTCCTAAAAGAGATAAGAAACAGACCCACTCCTCTGGAATCCGAGGAGTGGGTCAAGACCCGATTCATCTGGCTTTTAATAGCACCCACTTTCTGGCATTTAGGTCCATAAGATCAAAAATCTTGCGTGGATACGAATATCGCACCTTTCTCTGTCCAAATGGATTCTTGATTCTTAGTGGTCCCTTCACACCGTGCCTTAGGCGGAAAAGCCTGATACTCAACTTTACATCCCAAAAATTCCCATATATCGTCTCGGGAGTCAGTGCGGACTAACGACAAATTCTTGTCATAAATAGAGATAAAGCCTTGATAGATATCCCTAGCTTTGGCAAAAGAGGTTTGAGATCTATTAGGCAGAGTTATAAATAGAGCAACGTCATCGACCAACCTTAAACCTTGAATCAAATTGCGGTTCTTACCTAAAGAGTTCAGGAAAGAAAACTCATAGTAAGTGCAGAGCAGGCAGGCTAGGGCTGGACTAGAAGTTTTACCCATAGGGATGCCTATCATCTGTCTAATGATACAACCAGATACCTTAGAAAAGGTGTGATCTAAATCAAAGACGACAAATTGAATAATATCGAAAAATTTTACCCGGCACCAACCTTGCTCTCCGTAGGCTCTACCAAAAGAAGTTCCTTTTCCTGATTTATTAATTCTAATAGAATTATGACCGTTACCAATGAAATAATCACACAGCCACTCAACAGAACGAATGATGGCATCGTGGGGTAATTTCATGAACATTTCTTTAATATTAAAACTTGCTGACAGCATAATTCCGTCGACATGCTTCTCAGCCTTCCGGTTCAAAAACTCGATACGCTTCTTCAAAAGGTGTGTACTTTTTAAATTAAAATGACAGGAATCCGGAACCCTCCAGAGAAGCCCATTAACTGCCTTGGAAACGATTTTACAAGCACGAACGCTTGGTTCAGAAAAGGAGGGAGCAATGGGTCTCCATCTAGTGACATCTTTGTGTTTAGGTATTCCATAGGCAGACCCCAAAGTCCCTCGATTGTTCCATGGAGCCAACCTCTGAGCCCGAATCTCATGGAACTTCTCCTTGCACATCTTCAAAACCTCTAGTTCCGACATATCAACAACCTGAAAACCTTCATTCTCCCAGTATAACTTCGCGAGAGCTCCATTGTAAATAGTAGCACAGCATACCAAAGTGTCGCCAATGTTGTGGTCAATAGGCGAAGCAATCAAACCTTCCAAATAAATTTTCCAATTCGTTGCCACTTCTTCGTGGCAGGATTCAACTTTCCTTTTATTAACGAAGCAAGAACGGACCATTAGAGAACTTCCAACCCATCCATCCACACTCGGAATATGGGACAACCCTTCAACCAGTGCCCTTTTAATCCTACCAATGGACAAAATTCGGGACGGATGCAAAACGTTTCGAGAGTTCTTCAGAGATAGGGGAAGATGAGGTAGCTCAGAAAAACGGGAAAAAATGTGACCGTCGTCATTACGAGGAAAAAACCTGCTGGCCTTTTCACATGAACATTCATTAGAGGTTACTCAAGCCATAGCCCTGTGGTTGTGCAGTAAGTCACCCACAAATTTGTTCTTAGTCCAAACCACCCTTAACCTTGAAATCAGAAAATCAGCAAGCAGATCGTTAGTGCAGCGTTTCCTGATCACTACTTTAGCTAATTCAAAAATGGCCGATTTGCAGATCTTATCGTCAAATATCATTTTCACCACACTTGGGGCTAGACACCGAAAACCGCACACTGATGTTAGCGCCTTTCCTATCACCCCTTTAAGAATAGTCCGGGACTTATCTCTGAGGAATGTGTCACTGGAAACGTACAGCTTAATCAAATTATGCAGACTAGCCTTATAGAGCCCCACCCTTGTGCTAGGCACTTGCAGAAGGGAAGCTAGTATATTACGTCTCAGGCCAGTCATAGACAGTTTCTTCCGCAAACGTATGATATGAAAAAGGCCACCTTTCAAAAACTCGTATTTGAGATTTTTCAGCAAACAATTTTTCTTCTCAAATTCTACAATGGACCAACAAAAAAACCTCTTAATTCGTCCCCAAGAGTCAAAAAAATGTGTCCCTCCAGAACTGAAAAGATTAACGTGCCCAGCACCATCAGTAACCAACTTATTTAGAATCTCAGCGAATGAAAAAAACAAGGAAGAGGAAACCCATGGATCGGGGATAGGAAGGGAGATAGGAGAAGACTCACAACAAACAGGCCTGACGTCCAATCTTCTAGTCATCATAGCACGCCCATTCTGCCGTTGAAAGGAACGTCGCTCCCTCCTCCCTTTGCGCTTGCAGGGTCTCTTTCTTCTGGCATAGTTCAGCGCCGGGTTCCATCTAGAAATCATAGCTTCCTCAACTCTTCGAATCTCATTGCATAAAGGGAAGGCAACAGGAATGGCGACATAGTTATACCAGCCATTCCGTTGGAACCAACGTTTGACCTTGTGGTTCCTGCCATCCTTAGACTGGATAGATCTTCTAATGTGTTCATCCCATCGACTTTTAAGTGGACGTGTAGTGGACCCTACATAGGTAGCTTTGAACCATGGAGATATTAATACGTACACACACGGGCCGTCCCACCCACACAGGTCTATAGCCCGACTCAAAGAGTCCTTCCAACAGCCAACAAATTTGTCAGTCCAATGCAGCTTAGCAGCACATGCTAGCGTCAAAACCAGAAAACACATAAGCATATCAGTCTCAAAAGCCCGCCTGCCTTGCCACCCTTCATTTCTTCTTCGAATTCTCAAACGCTCCAAGTGGCACCCAATTGCAGGGAGATCCACAGATCATCAAGAGGGGTTCTCCTCTTGAGATTCCTCCTCAGACTGGTCCTCCTCTTCCTCATCACCGTAGGCCGCAATCGCACGTAGTCTAGCCAAAGCAGCAGTAGTGATTTTCTTGTTCACATACTTTATACGATCCTTCTTGCACAAATCTTCCAACTCATGCTTGGTCTTCTGCATGAGAACTTCAATCAAGTCATCAATGTACTTCACCTTGCCTGCCTTTCCCGATCCAGCAACAACCGCCTTCTTCCCCCTGTTGATGCGGTCGAAACCAAGACCTTGAGATGCATTTTCATTGATGGTAATCCCAACCGATCGTCTCCTAGCTGTGTTGCCAGCGACGAAGGCGAACATACCTGCCAACCGCGTTGAAAAACGGTTTCCCAGAGGGGTCTCGACACTATCACTCCGTGGGCGGGAGGGACCAGGTTCGGTGTCAGCACCAACTCTACTTGGAGCAGGGGCGAAGGTGGAGGGAGGGGGAGGGGGAGGTCGATGGAGTGGTGGTTGAGGATCGGGGGTTGCGAGAACAGGATTGGTGGTATGCACGGAAGGGGATGGAGGGGGTGGAGGAGGAGGTGGAGGGGGAGGAGGAGGAGCCGGGGGAGGAGGAGCCGCAGGAGCCGAAGGATGGCACTGAGGGTCGGAGTGCAAGGTTATGGGGTGTTGAGGTGGCCGGTGGTGAGGAGGAGGGGGAGGAGGAGCGAACGGGGCAGGGTGATGTTGGGATGCCGAAGGGGTAAGAAGAGTAGCGCCCTGTTCTTTTATCGTCTTTAAACACGACAGCATCTCTTAGAACAACAATACATGAGATTCTTGTGTCTTTCGGACACTGTCCAGCTCCATACGCAGCAAATTGGTATCGAGCGGGGTTACTTCGTTACCAACCCACTGCCTTTCGACGGCCTGCTGCTGAAAGGCCACGGATTCTCCACCCATCGCAACCTGATCACGTTTGCGATTCTCACATTCACTACTTTTTATGGTCTCCCCTTCTTTAGGAGACTTCACATCTCTTTCTATCTTATCCCAACCCGCTTTACTAGCAACCCCGGAGACACCTTTCTTCTTTGCCTCCATCTCTTCCATTTGATCCCTAACTGACTTAGCCATTTTGGCTTCTCGCTCAGCTTCCTTCTTTTCTTCAGCTTCCAGTCTCTTCTCTTCTTCTTCTCGAACAATTCTCGCATGTTCCTCTCTATTCCTTCTGTCCTCCTCCTCGCGCCTGTGTTCCCTTTCCTCACGTCGGTCATTCCAAATCTCTCTCAAAATCATCATCGCCTCGCTGTCGGACCCCATATCCCTCGGTCGATTCCAGCCACGTGCGTTGTTCCCGCCGAAATTGCCGCGCGGTGGTTGATAAGGCACTATGGCATTTGAGGTAGATGGAGAGCTCGTACTCGGAACTGCTGAAGTCGGAGCTTGTAGGATAGCCGACTGGGATCCTTGGAGAGGAGCAGGGTAAGGAGCAGGGAGAGGGAGAGGGAGAGGAGGGGCGGAAGGGAGTGAGGGAGCAGAGGGAAGCGGGGAAGCCGAGGGCACGTGTGTGGAATTGAAGATCGGTCGCCCCTGGATATACGCAGCATCTTGCCTCTGGCCAGCCCCGTACCCATCATTGCGCGGAGGGTGTGGACACCACCTGGCATGATGTCCATAATTCCCGCAGTTGTAGTAGTTTCCATACCCACCTCTTTGTCCGCCATCTGCCATGAACGATACGTCGCTGAACACAACGCCTAAGCTTATCCTATGAAGACTAACCAAACCACCAACCAGTACGTTGCAACCAGCGGAGGGAGAGGAATAAAGAAGAAGAAGAAGAAGAAAAAGGAGAGAAGAGAAGAAGAGAAGTGAAAAAAAGAGAGAGAAGTGAAAAAGAGAGGAAATAGGGAAAAAAACGGAAAAAATCGTAAAACTTCACGAGCACCGCCGATCATGAAGAAGAGACAAACACCCAACAGTAGTCTACAAACCTTGTTAAACTAGCGTATCCACCACCCTGTGAGTAGCATGGCGGTTAAGACGCTTCTCCAAGAGCATAGAGAGTCAAAAAGATGTGCGCTGACTCAAAGCTCGACAAAGGCTGACGAACCCGGTGTAACCAACCATGACCGAAAGAAGCATCGACGAGAAAAAGGAAAAAAGAAAAAGAAAAAAGAAAAAAGAAAAAAGAAAAAAGAAAAAGAAAAAGAAAAAGAAGAAGAAGAGGAGAAAGAAAAACGAATAGGAGATGAAGAGAGGGAGAAAAAAATGAGGTGAAGAGATGAGGTATGAGAGACGCTGGTACAAGTGGATAGCGCAAAAACAATCGTGCTTCCTTGAAATGTGAACATTAGTTGGAAGCAGA